TTTAATTGTATAGATTATATAGTCTTATATACGCTCACCTCTTATGAATAATCATCCTAGTATTCTTGAATAATTTAGAGTGATGAAACTTTATCACTTGTCGGGGTTTCCACTGTAACGGAGAAATTAGAAAATAGAATTAACTAGACAAGCCGTTTGATGTCAACCTACTTAATCATGTACCATTTACTCTACAAATCAAACAATCTTACTCTATTAACAGTATTACGTAGCTTAATGGTGTTGGATGCGATTAAAGTTTCCACTATTTCTACGATCAACTGAAAGGACATTACCCAGTTATTATCTGAGGATATTGATGGCGTAGTGTCTTGATAGAGGAGTATATATAGTAGCCAGTACTACTAACAATGCTTATAACTTTTAATTAAGAGTCGAACAAAATTCCAATCCTTTTGTGGAAAGTCTACATTTATTTATAGTCAAATAAGAAGTAAGCTCAGCCTCACTATTGAATGTCAATTAGAAATTGTCAGTTAAATTGGAGCTTCATCCTGGTATTCGGATATATGGGAAAACATATTATTATTACAATTTTATAAAATCTAATTTGTTTTGTTTTGGAAATCTTGACATTAAATATTTTAACTATTAAATTCCAATAGATACAATAATGAACGCATCTGGATATTGGGATCAATCAAGTTTAAATGATCAACAATCACAACAACAACAACAGCCTTCCAACTCAAGTTCGACACAACATGAATTACAGCACCAATCACAAATATCATATGAAGAAATTCAACAATCAATCATATCATCAAACACAACCAATCAACACCATCATCATTTCATCCAAAACATAGAGGAAACGAGTGAACATGACGACAACGATTCATATTCAAATACAGCAAATATGCGCATTCGTAACCACCGACACCACCATCATCACACTGGTAACAACAATTACCATGAAGATGGAGATAATATTAATGAAGCAGAGGAAGATGATGAAAGTGGTGTTGATGATGATGATGATGATGGTGATGACGATGAACAACAAATGATAGGCACAAACGAGGACGAAAAAACACAACCTTCATTAGAACAGATTCAACGAGTATATTATACCAAGGGACTACAAGAAATTGAAAATCTCCAATTGTTTGATTTATCCCCCTTGGCAAATTGGAAATTATCCTCATTTAAACTGGGGTTTGGACTTGCACAACTTCGTGATGATTCTCCTGATACGTATTGGCAGAGCGATGGATCAAATGGAAATACAAATAATAGTAACAATTCCAATAATGGCAATTCTAATAATGCCAACAATTCAGCAATTGTTAACAATCAATTGAATAATCCACATTGTATAACAATCCAATTTTCCAAGAGAGTATCATTAGAAAGAATCTCAATTTTTACCAATTATTCTTTAGATGAAAGTTATACACCTTCCAAAATCAGAATTATGGCAGGTACTTCGGAATCAAGTGATTTAATTGAAGTTTGTACTGTGAACTTCACTCAGCCAATAGGATGGTCCCATATTATCTTCAATGGAATCAGGAATGATGGTGTCTTGAAATGCTTTTTGATAAAATTGATAATATTGGCAAATCATCAGGAGGGAAAGGATTCACATATAAGAGCAATTAGATGTTTTGGTAAGAAATCTAGCATGTTGAATAAAATACACTCGAAGCAAGATGAACCATTAGAGGAAGATATCGAGCATAGGGAAATATTAAAAGATATAAGTATGGCCAGTGGATCAACTAGTATCACGGGATTGCTGATCAATAATAGAAATGTACTGGGAATTACTCAGGATGAAAATATCAATGAAGATGGAAGAACCTCGAAGATTTTAAATAATGTTTCCCATATTATTGGATTTAATACTGGGTTTGAAAGTTTAGAATTTAAAAGCATTTCGTCAATCCGATAGATACATATATAGATATATACTTATATTGCTATTTACATAGAGTTAATCTTTAAGGAAAAGTCTATAATTCCAGTACCTTGATGGATAGATGAAGTTGAATAGATATCAATTTCATTACATAAATAATTGGATAAATTTTGTAAAGTTAATCCCCCTGAACACTCCAATAAGAAAGCTTTTCCAGTTCCTTTATAATGATTTTTTAAACTTCGAGCCACTTTTCTTAATTCATCACCAGTGAAATTGTCCAACATAATAACATCAGCCCCCGAATCAATGGCTTCTCTAGCATCCTTTTCAGAACTAACCTCAACTTCAACCTTCACCGCAAAACCACATACGGAACGAGCTTTAGTCACAGCATTAGTAATACTACCAGTAGAAGTAATATGATTATCTTTTAACATGACCATCGAACTCAAGTCATATCTATGAGTATCTACCCCTCCAACCAACATAGCATATTTCTCAACATATCTTAAACCAGGAGTAGTCTTTCTTGTCCCGGCAATTAAACCAGTATATCCACTCTCATCGGCCAATTTCTTAGTTTTGTAAGACTGAGTAGCGATTCCACTTGCTCTAGCCAAAAGGTTTAATGCTGTACGTTCGGCCAATAAAATATTGCTTGCGGCACCTTTGACAGTTGCAACGACAATTTTACCACCACTTTCGGCAAGTTGATCTTCCGTAATGTAGTCTCCTTCATTATAATACCATTCAACTTCAAGATTGCATTGTTTGAACACTTCTGCAGCAAATGGTGTACCACAGATAAGTCCGGTTTGTTTGAGGTAGAGAGAACCGGTTTCTGGTTTATCACCAACTACGAACCCACCAAAATCGAAGGAGGGAACATCTTCAGATAAATAGTTTGTGATTTCTTGTTTCCACTTACCGCTGACCGGTAATAAGTTTGCGTAGATTGAGGACATTGTGTTGTGCTGATTGTTGTTTTGCTAAGAAGAGTGGATTGGTGGTGGAGCAACTAAGAGGTTGTAATTTTTCAGAAATGATTTTCATGGGACGAGTTTCCCGTTCTCGCCCGGAACCGACCACTCGTGGTGCGGATTTTTTTTTTCCGTCTTTGTTTGCTCTATTCCTCTACTCCCGGGGCAATACGATGGCTTTGCTTCAACGATGAATGAGGTAATAAATGCAATGATCTAGTAGTATTAGTACAATTGATCAGTTAATTGAAATCTTGGAGATTGCGATACAATATAAAACTGAATATAAAGAAAACAAGTTAATATTTGCCAAGATGCGTCAGTCCAATCTGGGTAGCAAGAAGACTACATCAACCAAGTATACGATCAAGAGATATGTTAAAGAAGGTAATGCTGTGTAGCGATTGTCATAAATATGGACACCATCACGACCATACTACAGAAATTTGAACGTTCCTGATCAGCTCGACCCCATAGAATGAATGATAATTGATACCTAATATGGTTGCCAAAAATTAAAGTAAGATGCATACCTTCTTACTGGCTTATAACACACAGTAAACTAAATATCATTACCTTCCCAATAATCAGGAGAAATTTTAAATTCATAAAGAATCTCAGCGTTTCTAACAAGTTGGTCGACCACCCTAACCTATATAATACTCCATGTGGAACACCTTTAGGTCCGCGATGGACAGTCACAAAGAAAGCTAACTAAGTGAAGCAAAATAACTGCAAAGTGATGGACTAGGAAGGTTTCCACTTATTGGAGCCGGGGATATTAAAGAGTTACGAGTTATGTATTAGATGCTATATATATTAGAAACCGGGGAATGTACGTATATCATAGTAGCGTTGAATATTCCTGTGATCAATGATTTTTATCATCAAGATTCTGCTAAATAAAACTCACAGCTACATGCAAAAGGGAGATTCAGTAAAAGCAATATCGTTCGGGGAAAGTACTATACAAAGGTCATCCGGGGAACCGAGAACTACACCATTACCAGGGAATAAATAAATATCCAAGTGTCAGCCAACGATATACAAGCTACACCTTCGTTTTGAGGATGAGCCGCACTGCCCCCAAATAGGCAGCAAGCCAACAGCTGAGTGCAAGCAATTCCAAAACAACAAGACACATATATTTCTGCTTCTTTCTTTGCAAAAAACGAGAAATCTGGCTGTTGTATTTCCTATTCTCTGGATAACGAAATCTCAAAACGACCAAAAACTTTAAACGTCAGGAGAAGATCCTAACACCAAGAAATTCGATATCCGACTCTCAGATGATAACCAACCGTTAGCAATGTATTTTCGAAGAGTAGGATGTTTCTGTTAGCAAATTTATTTCTACTATGGCAACTCAAGATGCCATCCAAAACTCATCGAGCTGTTCAATTTATCTCGTCCGTTTCGGATTGGCTAGTTGTCGTCAATCTTAAGAAGCTCGGTTAGTAAGCTTGATACGATTGAAGCCTTTTAATTGAAACAAGATAAGATTTTGTTTCGCTGGGAATTCTGGAGAGATCCTGAAACTATATTACAAAGTTCCAGGCATTACCTTGACTTGAAAATGTGATAAGAAAATGTTTAAACCATTGTTAGCTAAAGTTAGTCTAATGGTTTGTTGGAAGGGGTGATTTCGAACGTTCGGAAATTTCTATAAATAAAATATTGTATATTATTAACCCGAATAGCTGTCACAGGTTTGACTACATTCAGGCTAAATTGCGATGATAACTGGGACATTGCGACATTTAGAATAATGGAAGTGGAGTTACATGTAAGTGCAAATTCTTACATTTGTCTATATATATATTAAGTGAATAATATTCTGAGAATGGAACAATGAAGAAAAAACGCCATTGCTCTGCATATTCATGGTTCGTATTTCTCATATTTAAGGATTTCATTTCCTCAGAATTTTGTTTATTTGGGTTTTATAGAATGATCGAAGATTATCAATAAATTAGAATAAGAACGATTTAATAACTGGAAAATTTTCATAAGTCTTAAGTGAAGCCATAGGATTGGGGGGAAACACAAGTCGTGAATCAAGCACTCCGACTATATTGACATTTACACTCATTTTATCCATATCTGCACCATTGAAGTTTACCGCTGAATAAGAAAAAATTATGTAAAGTACTTTCCCTTTTCGGCCTGCATGTTTCGCACTTACGAGTTCTTCCTTTAAAGTTGTGGCAAGTTTATTCGCCATTCTTCACCAGCCAATATATATTTTTTAATAAAATTATTTTTTAGACTTCACAAGCCCATTGTCGTGGCTGCAAGAATTGTGACACAAACATAAATTCTCAGCCCTTCCGTTTTGATTGATTGTTTCAACACTTGAAATTCTTCTTTTACGGGGCGTTCTTTTCGTAAAATCCCCAACTGTGTTTCCAAGATATCAATTCTACAGCCATAAGCGCTGGAGTGTTTGAAAGATTCTCAGGTATTCTATCTCAGTCATGCGGGGAACAGTGTGTGATGAACATCTGGGAGTCTAATTGCGGCTTTCAAATCATCTTTCATACAAATGTAACGTTACAGCATTCCTAAAACACTTTTGATGTAAAACCAACGTTTGTGCGTTAGGCCAAGTAAAATGTCTAGAAGCAGTCCAGGCCCTTGACTCTCATACGTAAAGACTGTTTTATAAAGACTGACAGAGTTGCCCGCAATTTCTTTTCTCTCTGGTTATTTTTCGTTCGTTTTATTTTTAGTACAACGTACACGTAATGTGTTAAATACGCAAGTCTTTTACGTAGGAATATTTTCCGAATGTGGGAATGATGTGCTGGCGTTTACCCTTTGACTATAATATTCCTGGGTGGTTATTTAAACACGCTGGCTTCACCCTTGAATGAAAAAGCAAATTGACACACCTTTCTTTTCCCAGTTTCTTAACTATAACTATCATACCAACTTTACCAACTATACAAATTACTTTTATTATTATATTATTATCATCAAATACTGCTATCACTTTATATTACCTTTAGATAACAGTCCTTTCCCCAATTACATACTATTGTGTGTGGAATCTAGGAAATATATATATAGTTTAATATATCGATTTCTTCTTTTTTGCTACCATTACGTTCACGTGACTTACTGATCATCATATACAACATACATGCAATGGAATCATTTTGGAACACAAAGATACTAAGCAAAGTTCCTAGAAGACTTTGGATCCTCCTTGTGGTAAGCTGTCTAATAGTAACAATAGTATTGCAGCAAGAGACACTACTAACCAAATACAATGACTATTCAGGGAAGAGCCTTTCACTTTCGACTCTCCAGCCTACTTACTACGACAAATCAGAATATACCGATATTTCATCTAACTACACTACGATCGAATATTTACGGTCTCAGGAAAATTCTACGACGGAAAATCCATCCATTCTTTTTCTTTCAGCTATAGCTGGTAAGGATTCATATGGACCTGAGCGGAAAATCCATGACTTTATAGCAGTCTTAAATACAATTGCAGAAAACCAAGATAGCCTTCATATAAACATGGCTCTCCTATGCAATGACTTCCACGAACTTCAAAATGTAATCACATATATTGAATCTAAATCAGAAACTCTTTCCCAAGTATATGGGAAGATCACCATAATCCTGGCACCCTTCTTAGATAAGAATCAGGGATTTGCAAGAGACCAAAGAAAAGCACCCCAGTCTCAAAGATTAAGACGTCGAATGATTGCAAGAACAAGAAACTTCTTATTATTGAATTCTTTGAGACATGAGCAATATACATTATTTGTTGATTCGGATATAATTGAATTCGAACACCCGGAGACCTTTCTTTTGACTTTCATTAAAACCAACAAAGATATCATTGTACCTAGAATACCCGTAGCTGGGAACCCTGATTATGACCTCAACTCATGGCGAGGACAAAGAAGGAAGCCTACGGAAGAACAATTGAAACTTTTGGATGTGGAGAATAGGGAAGATTTTCATTATTATCCTGAAGAAGCTGATATTCCTGGGAAAGTCTGGCATTTTAAGGAATATATAGCAAATACAAATAACGAGTACGAGGAACATAAAGATGAATATGAATATTTAGTACCATTGGATTCTGTTGGTGGTGCGGTTTTATTTGCCAAATCAATTGTTTATAAGCAAGGAGCAATATTCCCAACTAGTTATATTGTGGGTACCACTTGGGATAGATCAGAAGGGTATGATGGGATTGAGACTGAAGGGTTATGTTATTTGGCCAAACCTTTAGGGTATAGTTGTTGGGGTATGCCAAATGTTGTAGTTCAGCATGTGTATGGTTAATAATACAAGAGTGCTCGATTATCATTAATGGCTGCAAAATAAAAAAGTACAATACGCAGGAAATTCAGGAAATTTCCAGAATGTGATGGTGTTGGTTCTTAGAACTATTTTACGTCATGTGATTTAATTGAGAATTTCAAGAATATATT